CTTTACCGTTTCAAACACCTTTAAAGCTAGTTTTAGTTCCTGAATACATTTCAAATGTATAGAAAACAGTTTATCAAGCAATTTGACTTGCCATGTCAGAATTGAAAACAGAACGTGTTAATCTTGTGTCAAATTTCCGCTAGTGATAGGGTGCATTTGGGACTAAGGGGTTTGGTTAAGGGTTTTGGTTAAGGTTAGTGTTCAAGTGAGGGTCTGTTTTAGGTTTTGGCTAGTTGGGCTATAAATATGGATTGGGAAAGTCCCCTTAGTCTCTCAATGTGCGTCCTAGTAATCTACTTTTGACCAGAGTCAGTCCCTCAGTTTCAACTGCCTCATTGATGAACAACAGGGTTGTCTTTTGACCAGAGTCAGTCCCTCAGTCCCAACTGCCTCATTGATGAACAACAGAGTTATGTCTTTTGACCAGAGTCAGTCCCTCAGTCCCAACTACCTCACTGATGAACAACAGGGTTGTCTTTTGACCAGAGTCAGTCCCTCAGTCCCCACTGCCTCATTGATGAACAACAGAGTTATGTCTTTTGACCAGAGTTAGTCCCTTAGTCCCAACTGCCTCACTGATGAACAACAGAGTTATGTATTTTTGTGGCGAAAGATAAACAAACTCTTAGATACTCTCATTCTTCTCACACATCAGCAACGTCTCCTTATGGCAGTTTGGACTATGAGAGCCACGTCAACACAAACCACTGTCTCCCCCATGTGGATTTACATAGCAACTACAACCTCTGCTGCTGTAGAGTTACCAGGGCAGGGGGTGCAGGGTTTAGTTCCATACTAGCCAATGCTTGACTTGGACTGAAATAGGTGCCGGTACTCATGTTGTGTGCCTGTACTGTTTATATTTAGGTGTAGAAACTCCTCAATACTGTTGAGTTAATATTCTATAAGAGGTGCAGGAACTCCTCAATACTGTTGAGTTAATATTCTATAAGAGGTGCAGGAACTCCTCAATACTGTTGAGTTAATATTCTATAAGAGGTGCAGGAACTCCTCAATACTGTTGAGTTAATATTCTATAAGAGGTGCAGGAACTCCTCAATACTGTTGAGTTAATATTCTATAAGAGGTGCAGGAACTCCTCAATACTGTTGAGTTAATATTCTATAAGAGGTGCAGGAACTCCTCAATACTGTTGAGTTAATATTCTATAAGAGGTGCAGGAACTCCTCAATACTGTTGAGTTAATATTCTATAAGAGGTGCAGGAACAACAACAAAATGTAGGTGTCGGTACTCAAGTCAAGCACTGATACCAGCACTAACACACCTGATTCAAAAAACCAACCAATCATCATCAAGACCATGATTATTTTATTTAACCTTTATTTTTATCAGGGAGTCATACTGAGCCCAAGGTCTCTTTAACAGATGAGCCCTGAATTACATAAATTACAGAAAATAAACGCATCAGAAAAACACGCTCATAAAACACAAACACATTCATCAGTAATAAGGTCCTCAATCAGCTTTCTGAATTGCCCTAGAGGCCCCAAAACATCAAATTGAAGAACATCAAAATTAGCTGGATAGTGTATTTTAGTGCTGTGCTGGAACAAAATCCTGCCCTGCACAGACGCTACTAGGATTTTTCTAGAGCCAGGGATTGTTAGGGAGGATGTAGACATTGAAATTATGCAAACAAACTACATATTTATTTACCTTCATAAATGTATACAGAAGAATTAGCTTTAATTGTAGCTTATTTAATTCAATACACCATTATAAGACCACCTCTCTCTCTCTCTCTCTCTCTCTCTCTCGCTTGCTTTCGCTCGCTCGCTCTCGCTCGCTCGCTCGCTCTCTTTTTCTGCAGTCAGGTGAGTTCAGAATAAATGTTTTTTTTATCACACCAAGTTTTGTCCAATAAAAGCCTAATCTCATTTATAGAATTGAGAATGAATCCCCAGAATGTCAGAGCAGATGGCTAAACTGTTTATACAGTTACAAATGATACCAAATAGTTCCAACTCTGTAAAGGGGCAGAATAAGGCTGCAGGGATAGGGTGGAATGGGTAGGGTAGGGTGGGGTAGGATAGGATAGGGTAGGGTAGGGTAGGGTGGGGTGGGGTGGGGTAGGGTAGGGCTGCAGGAATAGGGTTGGATGTGGTTTGGGTTAGGGTTATGGTTGAACTGGGCCGTAGACATTAAATTAAGGTTAGGGTTGTGGGTGAGGGTGAGGGTTAGGGTTGTGGTTGTGGTTCAGGTTAGGGTTGTGGTTCAGGTTAGGGTTAGGGTTGTGGTTCAGGTTAGGGTTAGGGTTCAGGCTAGGGTTAGATTGAAACGGGTTACATTATAACCTGTAATGGTTACACTGTTCAGATTAGGTGTTTTCCATGCAAAAGTGACATCAGTAATAACAATTTATAAGGCAGATAGTCCTAATCATAAGAAAGCCTTTTGACAGTTTACTCAGTAAACATTGCTTTTCTCTGCAGGATCTAGAAGAAAGTGATCAAGTACTCGGGATATGCCTGATTGTCATGGAAAACGACAAACATAGATGGTCCTGATGGGTTGTCTGTCACGCTGTTGTAGAGTTCAACAGTTGTAGTGCTTTTAGTTGGAGGCACTTTCATCCCATGTCGTCCTGCTGTGAAATCTCCAGTTAGAACCCGAAATAGGTACATACAGTTGAAGTCGGAAGTTTATATACACTTAGGTTGGAGTCATTAAAACTTGTTTTTCAACCACTCCACAAATTTCTTCTTAACAAACTATAGTTTTGGCAAGTCGGTTAGGAAATCTACTTTGTGCATGACACAAGTAATTTTTCCAACAATTGTTTACAGACAGATTATTTCACTTCTAATTCACTGTATCACAATTGCAGTGGGTCAGAAGTTTACATACACTAAGTTGACTGTGCCTTTAAACAGCTTGGAAAATTCCAGAAAAATTATGTCATGGCTTTAGAAGCTTCTCATAGGCTAATTGACATCATTTGAGTCAATTGGAGGTGTACCTGTGGATGTATTTCAAGGCCTACCTTCAAACTCATTGCCTCTTTGCTTGACATCATGGGAAAATCAAAAGAAATATGCCAAGACCTCAGAATTTTTTTTGTAGACCTCCACAAGTCTGATTCATCCTTGGGAGCAATTTCCAAACGCCTGAAGGTACCACGTTCTTCTGTACAAACAATAGTACGCAAGTATAAACACCATGGGACCACGCAGCCGTCATACTGCTCAGGAAGGAGAAGCGTTCTGCCTCCTAGAGATGAACATACTTTGGTGCGAAAAGTGCAAATCAATCCCAGAACAACAGCAAAGGACCTTGTGATGATCCTGGAGGAAACAGGTACAAAAGTATCTATATCCACAGTAAAACGAGTCCTATATCGACATGACCTGAAAGGCCGCTCAGCAAGGAAGAAGCAACTGCTCCAAAACCGCCATAAAAAAGCCAGACTACGGTTTGCAACTGCACATGGGGACAAAGATCGTACTTTTTGTAGAAATGTCCTCTGATCTGATTAAACAAAAATAGAACTGTTTGGCCATAATGGAGGCTTGCAAGCCGAAGAACACCATCCCAAGCGTGAAGCACGGGGGTGGCAGCATCATGCTGTGGGGGTGCTTTGCTGCAGGAGGTACTGGTGCACTTCACAAAATAGATGGCATCATGAGGAAAGAAAATTATGTCGATATATTGAAGCGACATCTCAAGACATCAGTCAGGAAGTTAAAGCTTGGTCGCAAATGGGTCTTCCAAATGGACAACGACCCCAAGCATACTTCCAAAGTTGTGGAAAAATGGCGTAAGGACAACAAAGTCAAGGTATTGGAGTGGCCATTACAAAGCCCTGACCTCAATCCTATAGAATATTTGTGGGCAGAAGTGAAAAAGCGTGTGCAAGCAAGGAGGCCTACAAACCTGATTCAGTTAAACCAGCTTTGTCAGGAGTAATGGCCAAAATTCACCCAACTTATTGTGGGAAGCTTGTGGAAGGCTACCCAAAACGTTTCTCCCAAGTTAAACAATTTAAAGGCAATGCTACCAAATACTAATTGAGTGTATGTAAACTTCTGACCCACTGGGAATGTGATGAAAGAAAAAAAGCTTAAATAAATCATTCTCTCTACTATTATTCTGACATTTCACATTCTTAAAATGAAGTGGTGATCCTAACCACTTAATTTTTACTAGGATTAAATGTCAGGAATTGTGAAAAACTGAGTTTAAATGTATTTTGCTAAGGTGTATGTAAACTTCCGACTGAGTAGCTGGCACCAACAGCAAAGTATGTTCCATTTCCATATGCTGCAGCTGAAAAAATTATACATTGCTTAGGTTTTAGACTATTGCAGAGACAAGACTGAGTAAATATTGCCTATATATTGATCTGCCCAAAGTAGTGCCACTGCCTAGGCTGGCAGTTCTCAACCTGGCATCAACCTGACTCCTTGGGAGAATTGGGCCTTTGGGCCTTGGGTGTGAAAGCAGAGGAGATGTTGATGGTCTGATGTAACTGCCCTAAAACCAAGGGTACTTTACAGATAGTTGGTCTGTCACTGTCCGTCTGTCCATCTAGTGAGTATAGTGAAGCAGTGGTGAAGGAACAGATGATCACTGTGTTGATGGTATGAAAAAAAAAGATGGAAATGTAAATGACAAGCACAGGCTAAGTATACGATTTCTTAAAATCAAGAAAAACTGAATATTACATAACTTTTTACCAATAACCATAGGAGTTGGCAGGACAGGACAAACATATCTGGGACCAGGCAATTTTTTTTTTTTTTTTTTTTTTTTTGTCATTTAGCAGACGCTCTTATCCAGAGCGACTTACAGTTAGTGAGTGCATACATAATTTTTTATTTTTCATACCCCCCGTGGGAATCGAACCCACAACCCTGGCGTTGCAAACACCATGCTCTACCAACTGAGCTACATCCCTGCCGACCATTCCCTCCCCTACCATGGACGACGCTGGGCCAATTGTGTGCCGCCCCATGGAACATACGTATCTATCTTACCGTTTTTCCCAGCGTAGCTCCGATTGAAGCCATGGTTGTTAATGTGATCGATGGTTGTGTGGCACGTTCCATGGAAGAGCCTCTTCTCATTCTTCTGGTGACCGTTCCTGAGCTCCATGTCCAGCTTCTTGATCTGGAGAGTCCTCCACAGGGTTGGGTTCTGGATCCTCTCAATCTGAGAACACACAAAACACACTAACGGGCTAGCTAGACCAACACTAATCTAAGTACACTTTTCACACTATGGGTTCTGGATCCTCTCAATCTGAAATAAATTGAGGGAAAATACTTTATAGGAGTCATTAATAGAATCTAAAATGTATCCTGAATACCTTCCATACATCTTAGATTATTATTGTGGGCTGAAAAAGATCCAGACAAACAAATATCTGGCTAGCTGACCCCTAGCTGACCCCTAGCTGAGCTGAGGTGCCTCATCATTATTTCAAGTGCTTAACTAAATACTAACACACAAAGCCTCTAATAAACAAACCATTTAAAATGGCTGATCTCAAATCAAATTCAAATCAAATTTGATTTATAAAGCCCTTTTTACATCAGCAGATGTCACAAAGTGCTATACAGAAACCCAGCCTAAAACCCCAAACAGCAAGCAATGCAGATGTAGAAGCACGGTGGCTAGGAAAAACTCCCTAGAAAGGCAGGAACCTAGTCAGAAACCTAGAGACCAACAGCTGAGTCTAAACTAATCAGCCCATTAGACACACACCCATGCAGAGAACGTCCAGAACATCCGAAGACATAAAAATAACTACAATGGGAAGTATATTTTTTGGAAAAACAGGTAGCCTACCTTTATAACGTTGTTGGGGCAGGTGGCTCGGAACAGGTTTAAGACTTCATTGTGCTCTGGGCTTCCTGTCTGGATGAGGCAGGACAGGCAGGAGGTGTTGGCTGGCACGGCGTCCCAATGCTGAGGGAGACTCTCAATGGGTTGACCTAGAGCAAACACGGTTATTACTAAGATGGTGAACAGTTAGCATTTCCCCATAAGAAACCATGTCACACTTAGCCATCATGCTAACACTAGCTGGGATATGATAGTCAAGCAATCAATCAAACACATTTTATTTATAAAGCCCTTTTTACATCAGCAGATGTCACAAAGTGCTATACAGAAACCCAGCCTAAAACCCCAAACAACAAGCAATGCAGATGTAGAAGCATGGTGGCTAGGGAAAACTCCCTAGTTGCTAACAGACTTCCGGCTAATGGACATGTTGAACTTGAACTTGGCTTATCCCCATTGTTAACTAAGGTTAAAATAACAAATTAACTCTGTTTTGAGTACCTGCTAACTGGTCGATGCATCTGCTTTTGAGTCTGTTTCTACAGGTGTTGGTAGCAGCCCCGTCAGGCAGGGTGACCTTGTGCATTTGCCCCCGGACAGAGACCTCCACGCGGGGCTGCTTCCTCTCCAGCGCCTGCTGCAGATGGATGTTAAGGATGTGGCGGAAGCTCTGGGACTGCCCCCCTGGCTGCCATGGAAGCTCTGGTACTGCCCCCCTGGCTGCCATGGAAGCTCTGGTACTGCCCCCCTGGCTGCCATGGAAGCTCTGGTACTGCCCCCCTGGCTGCCATGGAAGCTCTGGTACTGCCCCCCTGGCTGCCATGGAAGCTCTGGAACTGCCCCCCCTGGCTGCCATGGAAGCTCTGGTACTGCCCCCCTGGCTGCCATGGAAGCTCTGGTACCGCCCCCCTGGCTGCCATGGAAGCTCTGGAACTGCCCCCCTGGCTGCCGTGGAAGCTCTGGTACTGCCCCCCTGGCTGCTGCTGATACTGCCAATCCACCATGTTGCTGGCCACTTTAATATTCCTGTCTGGATCTTTTAGGGTCAGGTCCTTGATCAGACGATTTACTTGACCCACTCTGGAAGAAATGTGGAAGACAGCCGGATCCACTTCCCGGGCCCTCGATGACAAAGTCCTCATTCTTTTGTGGCTTGTTAGCGATGCCCCAGTTGAACAATGCTGTGTGAACATGGGACACAAAACATTGTGTTTATGAAATAAATATATTTCTATATTCTAATAGGGTATTCTATAGAATGTCATATAGAATCAGTCTCTCCCTCTTACCGTGAGGTTTTACGTATGTAGGCTTTTTGCAGGTGATCAGATATTCAGGTAGAGCCTGGTGACCATTGAAGATGACCCAGATGTCTCTGCCTCCTTTCACACTATGATACAGGGTGAGTGGGTCTCTGGCAAAGGGAGGTGGCACAATGAGACCTGGACAGCCAACAGTTGACATGCCAGTCAGCACCTGTGCCTCAATGAAGTACAGGTACTCCTCGTCAGGTGAGCCCTTCCACAGTCTCTCTGCCCCATGCCGCAGCCACTGAAGTAGATCCCCTCTCCAAGCTTTGGCTCTGTGGATGAAACATATTATTGCACTATTGTAATACAATGTAAGAGAAAGTGGAATCTATTGCAACATAAAACCGTTTTGTGATGGTTGTGTGTTATTTTAGCTACACACCAGGAATAGGTATGTGCTTTGATTGAAAACGACTTGTGAAAGTTGCCAACCTGCATATTATGATTTCGGTAGTTCCACGGATAGAGTAAATGTTGGCTAGTGTAACTATTAATTTCACCTCATTTTAACATTGTCATAAAAAGCACATGCTCAACTTCATAAAAAACATGTTTTCCCAACTCAAGGTTTTTAAATAATAAAATAACTAAAGTGCCATTAAAGTAACATGGTTGAGGTTAAATAAATCTTAAATAAATCTTAAATCAGCCATAAATCCCCTTGTGATATGGGGGAATGGAAGCTTGTTGTGTGCAACAGGGAGGGGCAATTGAATGCAAGCTTCACAAAATAATGTCTAGCTTGTCTGTCTATGGGTAACAGGATTGACGTGTTATGCTCGACGCGCACATTTTTCCACCACAAAACACCAGAAAATTGCCAAAAAGAATAGGACCAGCTCACTTGGTTGACTGTTAGATGTTCAATGTTTATTTTGAGAAAATAAACATTTTTCTAAAGGAATAGTTTCACCATATTAAAACGAGAGTTCAGTTCACGTAACAGGGTTGACCTTAAAATGAGGGACAGGTGTAAGTGAATCACTAATCACATGAAATAAATTAGAATCTTCAGAAATGACTGTTAAAGCAAGAATATACAGTAACTAGGGCTTTACAAAAGATGGTGAAACCATGAAGAAGTGTTGTGGTTGAAGTGGGTTAAGATCTTCCTAGAAGTTGGAAAAACATGACGAGGGACATGTCAAAATGCAGATTTCTGGCACTTTAGCAAGTCTTTATTCATATAAAAAAAATCGGAATTATTGAATGTTCCTTGTGGTCTATATAAAAGGACACTTAACTTAGTATACAGGCTTTTAAAATTCAATATTAGTGCAAACCCCCTATCAAAGGGATGCAAAATGTACTCTATTATGTCATTCTTATTCTATAGGTGGCTTCTCTCTTACCGTCAGGTGGTGCAAACTCCATCTGATTCTTTCTTACCGTCAGGTGGTGTAAACTCCATCTGAATCTCTCAAACCGTCAGTTGGTGCAAACTCCATCTGATTCTCTCTTACCGTCAGGTGGTGTAAACTCCATCTGAATCTCTCTTACCGTCAGGTGGTGCAAACTCCATCTGATTCTCTCTTACCGTCAGTAGGTGCAAACTCCATCTGATTCTCTCTTACCGTCAGGTGGTGTAAACTCTGTCTGAATCTCTCAAACCGTCAGGTGGTGCAAACCCCATCTGAATCTCTCAAACCGTCACTTGGTGCAAACTCCATCTGAATCTCTCTTACCGTCAGGTGGTGCAAACTCCATCTGATTCTCTCTTACCGTCCGGTGGTGTAAACTCCATCTGAATCTCTCAAATCGTCAGTTGGTGCAAACTCCATCTGAATCTCTCTTACCATCAGGTGGTGTAAACTCCATCTGAATCTCTCTTACCGTCAGGTGGTGCAAACTTCATCTGAATCTCTCTTACCGTCAGGTGGTGCAAACTCCATCTGAATCTCTCTTACCATCAGGTGGTGTAAACTCCATCTGAATCTCTCTGACCGTCATGTGGTGCAAACCAGTGGTGTAAAGTACTTAAGTAAAAATACTTTAAAGTACTACTTAAGTAGTTTTTTTTGGTATCTGTACTTAACTTTACTATTTATATTGTGGTCCTCTGTAGCTCAGCTGGTAGAGCACGGCGCTTGTAACGCCAAGGTAGTGGGTTCGATCCCCGGGACCACCCATACACAAAAATGTATGCACGCATGACTGTAAGTCGCTTTGGATAAAAGCGTCTGCTAAATGGCATATTATTATTATTATATTTTTGACTACTTTTACTTTTACTTCACTACATTCCTAAAGAAAATAATGTACTTTTTACTCTATACATTTTCCCTGACACCCAAAAGTACTCGTTACATTTTGAATGCTTAGCAGGACAGGAAAAGGGTCCAATTCAGGCACTTATCAATAGAACATCCCTGGTCATCCTTACTGCCTCTGATCTGGCGGACTCACTAAACACACATGCTTCATTTGTAAATTATGTTTGAGCGTTGGAGTGTGCCCCTGGCTTTCCGTAAATAACAAAAACAAGAAAGTGGCGCCATCTGGTTTGCTTATTATAAGGAATTTGAAATGATTTGTACTTTTACATTTACTTTTGATACTTAAGTATAATTAAAACCAAATACTTTTAGTCTTTTACTCAAGTAGTATTTTACTGGGTGACTGACTTTTACTTGAGTCATTTTTTATTAAGTATCTTTACTTTTACTCAAGTATGAAAATTGGGTACTTTTTCCACCACTGGTGCAAACTCTGAATCTCTCTTACCATCAGGTGGTGTAAACTCCATCTGAATCTCTCTTACAGTCAGGTGGTGCAAACTCCATCTGAATCTCTTACCATCAGGTGGTGTAAACTCCATCTGAAACTCTCTTACCGTCAGGTGGTGCAAACTCCATCTGAATCTCTCTTACCGTCAGGTGGTGCAAACTCCATCTGAATCTCTTACCGTCAGGTGGTGCAAACTCCATCTGAATCTCTTTTACCGTCAGGTGGCGCAAACTCCATCTGAAAGCCCACTCTGCTGAGCAGGTCACAGAATTGCGCAGGCAAGCGCTGGTACATTCGCTGAGAAGAGCTAGACACCTGCAACTGCCTCTTCATGAGGTCAAAGACCTGCTTCAGAGCTTTGTTCTCCACCTTCTCAACCTGTAACGCATCAGCCATGGACATATTTGATGAATTATCAGGTAGTAAATATCACAGATTGCACCTTTAATGTTATCTGTTGTTTCTTGTGACACTCACCCTGACAATTTGAAGCCCGGGAAAATGTTGTTGTCTTTCTTTATAGTCAGAACTGTTGTCATCTACAGGCTTCCTTGGGGAACTAGTGGGAGATTGCTTGCCCATGAAACTCAACTCTTCTTTTGCAAAATCCTCTTGGACTTTGCAGCACAGGGCTTCCACCTCTTACAGAGCAGCTTTGAACCATCTAGAAGCCCCCTGGATGGTCACTCCAAAGTGGCCATCTTTAAAGTTCTCCTCGATGGAAACTTCCCTCTTGGTCTGAAGAGAAAGAAGCACATCAAACTCCCTCTGGCCAAAGTGCTGGATGAAATTGTTGTGAATGGTGATTACGTTCTTCGAGGCAGGGTTCAAAACATCAAAATACCAGCGTCTGGCCTCCTTCAATGTCTCATGATAGGCACTGCAGAGCTTGATAAACGGTTGAATACTTTTCCTTGCATATCTGGAGTCGGAATGGACCGTTGCATGCTTAAATCCTTAAAAATGAGACATAGAAGAAGAATTTAATTCAAAATACTGTAAGAAACACTGTAAGAAACACTAAGAAATACTGTAAGAAATACTGTAGGAAATACTGTAAGAAATAATGTAGGAAATACTAATAATCCCGATCATGGTACTCTTTCAGTGTTTTAACAATGACGTCTGCACAGAGAGGCAAGGGAAAGTTGAACAGGCCAGAACTGATGGCCACAAACTGCAGCTTCTCTTGATTTACCATCTTTAGAATGCTTATTACAGTCTTTGTGAGTTCTGGCACAGCATCATCAATATTATATTGCATTGGTTTGTATGGAAGGCATGGACCCACAGCATGAATGATCTTCTTGCACGGTAAGCGTCCAGGTTCGGCAACGATGGCATCTCCCGTTGACAACTTTCCGTAAAGCTTTGTGTACTGGTCACTCTCTCGCTGGATATCCGGGCCTCCGGCATCACACAGCGCCCTGGCGAGACCTCCCACATGGTGGAGATTCACATTGGCAGAATTGATCACAGCATCTGCTTTATGAGTGGTAAAGTCATCTTTCCTTACTGATACTTTGAGGCCCTTTGACAGCTGGGTAGAAAACCTTTCCTCACCTGGCATCTTGAACTTCCTTGTACCTGCACCGGCATCAACACCATGGAGCACAGCAGTACATCCAAACTTGCTTTGCAGGACATATGTCAGAGCTGGCCCGCATTGGTCCAGGATGCTCACCATCTCCTCCAGAGGGATAGTCTCGGACCTGGCCATTGCTCACACAGAAAAGGGAATATTGATCTGAGGAATGAGGAGAACATTTAAGATCAATTCAAGATGGAATCTGCGCCACTGTCGTTGTTATTGTTATTGTTTTGTTGACCAAGCGGAGGTGAGGAGCGTCGCGCAACGTGGTGAAACAAAAAAACTACATACTCTGCTGTTCTATCACATGTCCCATGATGCAATGATGTCTGAGGGGGGAAAACACAGTGTTGGTTGTTTGAAGTAACTTCTTTGTAGTTGTTATACCACAAACGGACGTGGCAGTTTCACCATTAACTATTCAAATAAAATAAAATAAAATGTTATTTGTCACATGCGCCGAATACACAGGTGTAGACCTTACAGTGAAATGCTTACTTACAAGCCCTTAACCAACAATGCAGTTTTAACAAAAATAAAAACAATTATAAATAAAGAGCAGCAGTAAAATAACAGTAGGGAGGCTATATACAGGGGGTTCCGGTACAGAGTCAATGTGCAGGGGCACCAGTTGGTCAAGGTAATTGAGGTAATATGTACAGTACCAGTCAAAAGTTTGGACACACCTACTCATTCCATTGTACTATCTTTTACATTGTAGAATAATAGTGAAGACATCAAAACTATGAAATAACCCATATGGAATCATGTAGTAACCAAAGAAGTGTTAAACAAATCAAATTATATTTTCTATTTGAGTTTCTTCAAATAGCCGACCCATTGCCTTGATGACAGCTTTGCACACTCTTGGCATTCTCTCAACCAGCTTCACCTGGAATGCTTTTCCAACAGTCTTGAAGGAGTTCCCACATATGCTGAGCACTTGTTGGCTGCTTTTCCTTCACTCTGCGGTCCAACTCATCCCAAACCATCTCAATTGGGTTGAAGTCGGGGGATTGTGGAGGCCAGGTCTTTTGATGCAGCACTCCATCACTCTCCTTCTTGGTAAAATAGCCCTTACACAGCCTGGAGGTGTGTTGGGTCATTGTCCTGTTGAAAAACAAATGATAGTCCCACTAAGCCCAAACCAGATGAGATGACGTATCGCTGCAGAAATGCTGTGGTAGCCATGCTGGTTAAGTGTGCCTTAAATTCTAAATAAATCACAGACAGTGTCACCAACAAAGCATCCCCATACCATAACACCTCCTCCTCCATGCTTTACGGTGGGAAATACACATGTGGAGATCATCCGTTCACCCATGGCGGTTGGCACCAAACATTTAACATTTGGAATCCAGACCAAATGACACATTTCCACCAGTCTAATGTCCATTGCTCATGTTTCTTGGCCCAAGCAAGTCTCTTCTTCTTATTGGTGTCTAAAGTGGTTTCTTTGCATCAATTCGACCATGAAGCCCTGATTCACGCAGTCTCCTCTCAACAGTTGATGTTGAGATGTGTCTGTTACTTGAACTCTGTGAAGCATTTATCTGGGTGTCACGATCGTTGAGAGACAGGTCATACCAAGGTGCAGCGTGGTATGCGTACATATTTATTAATGAAGATAAACACTTGACAAAACAACAAAAGCAACGTAACGTGAAGTCCTATGAGCTATACTCACAACAAGCCTAACAGGAACACAAACACGAGTCAAGATCCCACAACTAAGGTAGGCAACCAGGCTACCTAAGTATGATCCCCAATCAGAGACAACAAGCGACAGCTGCCTCTGATTGGGAATCACACCCGGCCAAACATAGAAATACACATACTAGATCCTAAACATAGAATCTAATAACATAGATCTCAAACTGAACTCACACCCTGACCCAACCAACAAGAGTTCTCTAAGTCAGGGCGTGACAGTACCCCCCCCCCCCCAAAGGTGCGTACTCCGGCCGCGCCAACCTGATTCATTAGGGGAGGGTCCGGGTGGGCATTCAGCCTCGGAGGCGGCTCCGGCTCCGGGATGACGACCTCTCCCTCTCTGCATCCCCGTTGCGCCCCTGGTCTGGTCTGGACCTCGGCGCGATGCTTCCCCTCTCCTTCCTCCCACGATGCACCAAGCCCTGTCTGGACCCTGGTCTGGGAGCACCCGAACCTGGAGAGGGGCTGACGTCTGGGCCTGGATTGGCAATCCTCCCACGATGCACCAAGCCCTGTCTGGACCCTGGTCTGGGAGCACCCGAACCTGGAGAGGGGCTGACGTCTGGGCCTGGATTGGCAATCCTCCCACGATGCACCAAGCCCTGTCTGGACCCTGGTCTGGGAGCACCCGAACCTGGAGAGGGGCTGACGTCTGGGCCTGGATTGGCAATCCTCCCGCGATGCACCAAGCCCTGTCTGGACCCTGGTGTGGGAGGCCCCGACCCTGGAGAGGGGCTGACTTCTGGGTCTGGAGTGGAACCGCTGACTGGAGCGGGACTGGGCACCGGTGGAGCGGACTGCTCTGGCTCCGGAGTGGAGCCGCTGACTGGAGCTGGACTGGGCACCGGTGGAGCAGACTGCTCTGGCTCCGGAGTGGAACCGCTGACCGGATCGGGACTGGGCACCGGTGGAGCGGACTACTCTGGCTCCGGAGTGGAGCCGCTGACTGGAGCTGGACTGGGAACACGCACCACTGGTTTGGTGCGAGGAGCAGGCACGGGCCGTGCCGGACTGGATACACGCACCACTGGTTTGGTGCGGGGAGCAGGTACGGGGCGTACCGGGCTGGCGACACGCACCACGGGTTTGGTGCGGGGAGCAGGTACGGGCCGTACTGGACTGGATATGCGCACCACTGGTTTGGTGCGGGGAGCAGGTACGGGGCGTACCGGGCTGGCAACACGCACCACTGGTTTGGTGCGGGGAGCAGGTACGGGCCGTACTGGACTGGATACGCGCACCACTGGTTTGGTGCGGGGAGCAGTTACGGGGCTTACCGGGCTGGCGACACGCACCACTGGTTTGGTGCGGGGTGTACCGGGCTGGCAACACGCACCACTGGTTTGGTGCGGGGAGCAGGTACGGGCCGTACTGGACTGGATACGCGCACCACTGGTTTGGTGCGGGGAGCAGGTACGGGGCTTACCGGGCTGGCGACATGCACCACTGGTTTGGTGCGGGGAGCAGGTACAGGGCTTACCGGGCTGGCGACACGCACCACTGGTTTGGTGCGGGGAGCAGGTACGGGCCGTACGAGGCTGGAGACACGCACCACTGGTTTGGTGCGGGGAGCAGGTACAGGGCGTCCCGGGCTGGCGACACGCACCACTGGTTTGGTGCGGGGAGCAAGTACGGGGCTTACCGGGCTGGCGACACGCACCACTGGTTTGGTGCGGGGAGCAGGTACAGGGCTTACCGGGCTGGCGACACGCACCACTGGTTTGGTGCGGGGAGCAGGTACGGGCCGTACCAGGCTGGAGACACGCACCACTGGTTTGGTGTGGGGTGCAGGTACGGGGCGTACCGGGCTGGCGACACGCACCACTGGTTTGGTGCGGAGAGCAGGTACGGGGCGTACCGGGCTGGCGACACGCACCACTGGTTTGGTGCGGGGAGCAGGTACGGGGTGTACCGGGCTGGCGACACGCACCACTGGTTTGGTGCGAGGATGCCCACTTTCGCACGACACGTGCGGGGCGCTGGCACAGGACGCACTGGGCTGGGAATGCGCACTGGCGACACAGTGTGTATCTCCGCATACCTAGGTTCCTCAATAAACACACACTCCTTTTGTTGCCTGACCAGCTCCTCTCTCCGTGCCTCCACTATTTCCTTCTCCCTACGGGCCTCCTGCAGCGCCTCCTCTTTAAGGGAGCTCTCCTGCTCTATTCTCCCTATCAGCCCCCGTAATGTGTTGGCCTCCTCTGTTAGACTGCAGATCCGCAGGTCTTGGAGGACCTCTAAAATAGCGCCCTCCTCCTCTACAGTCAGCCCTTTCACGGCCTCCTGCTGCTTCATCGTCCGCCCCGTGTGCCCCCACAAAAAATGTTTTATTGGGGCTGCTTCTCGGGCTTTCTTCATGACCGAGTCCTTTTGAGTCGCCGTTTCTCCTCTCCTGCCTGGGCTTCCTCCTTCGCCCAGGGTCCTCTACCAGCCAATATCTCCTCCCAAGTCCAAAATGTCTTTCCCACCTGTGTCCAGGGTGTCTGCTGCTACTGGGCACGCTGCTTGGTCTTTTGGTGGTGGGATCTTCTGTCACGATCGTTGAGAGACGGGTCAGACCAAGGTGCAGCGTGGTATGCGTACATATTTATTAATGAAGATAAACACTTGACAAAACAACAAAGGCAACATAACGTGAAGTCCTATGGGCTATACTCACAACAAGCCTAACAGGAACACAAACACGAGTCAAGATCCCACAACTGAGGTAGGCAACCAGGCTACCTAAGTATGATCCCCAATCAGAGACAATCAGCGACAGCTGCCTCTGATTGGGAATCACACCCGGCCAAACATAGAAATACACATACTAGATCCTAAACATAGAATCTAATAACATAGATCTCAAACTGAACTCACACCCTGACCCAACCAACAAGAGTTCTCTAGGTCAGGGCGTGACATTGGGATGCAATTTCTGAGGCTGGTAACTCAAATGAACTTATCCTCTGCAGCAAAGGTAACTCTGGGTCTTCCATTCCTGTGGCGGTCCTCATGAGAGCCAGTTTCATCATAGCGCTTGATGGTTTTTGCGACTGCACTTGAAGAAACGTTCAAAGTTCTTGAAAAGTTCCGTATTGACTGACCTTCATGTCTTACAGTAATGACGGACTGTTGTTTCTCTTTGGTTATTTGAGCTGTTCTTGCCATAATATGGACTTGGTCTTTTACCAAATAGGGCTATCTTCTGTATACCCCCTACCTTGTCACAACACAACTGATTGGTTCAAACGCATTAAGAAGGAAAGAAATTCCACAAATTAACTTTGAACAAGGCACACCTGTTAATTGAAATGCATTCCAGGTGACTGCCTCATGAAACTGGTTGAGAGAATGCCAAGAGTGTGCAAAGCTGTCATCAAGGCAAAGGGTGGCTATTTGAAGAATCTCAAATATAAAATATATTTTGATTT